TTTTTTTTCATTTTTATCCCTATCCTTATCTTCCTAGGTATGAATTGGTTGAATGGATAAGTTTTTTACAACTGCGGATTTGATAGAAACATGACTATCCATAAATGGAAACCTTGTGTGCCAATGAATGACAAACTTTAAATGGTTAGTGGTCGTCATTACAGCAAGAAAGGAGCTAAGTTTTGATTTCCCCTCATATGGTACTGACCTTGATCAGTACCTGTCACTGCTTTCTTCAGCTCTCTCTATCATCCCACATATTGTATAACACATACTAACACTAACATAATACATCATGAATAAGATAGTCGTCCGAATCGAACGTTCAACGTCTACGGAAACACAGAAGAATTCCCTATCAAACACCCAACGACACTAAAGTCATATTTAGCGAATAATAATAGTGAATATTTAGTTGGACAAGTGATTGAGAAGTTTATTTGTTATGATTCCTCAAACAACTAATAATCTATTTAGGATTACTGCAGTCTCTTTGACGACAGCGAGATGCTAGGAATATAAGCAGACAGGTATGCCGAAATAACAGTTTTTCTTCACGAATCTTTTATTTTGTAAAGACGATATTGGAGAAATATCTGGCTTCGTTTTTTTCTCCTGAAATCAGTAGGAATCGGAAACGGTGTGATACTAGACTCACGCAACCCCGCGCTATCCATTTAATTTCAAAAGCTCGTCTCTTCTGTAGGTCCATTCCCGCAGGGTCCCCTCAATAGCCGGCAGACTGCCAAAGACACAGTTCATTTCACAGTTGATAATTTCAAGTTTTTTTTTTAACTTGGAAAGCAAAAGTGTTGGCTGAGTGAGTATACATAGGTGACGAAGTGAGTGAGAGAGCAAAAAGCAGCAACTTAGCAAAAATAAGACCTAAAAGTAGCGAAAGTAGAGGTTGTACGCGATTACCGTGACGAGAATGGTAAGCTATTTGGACGAGATTTTAGTTTTTGTAGCTGCATAGATCTGACTACATTGCGCCAAAATTGTCCAAAACTGTCTCCCACTGTTGCTATGGGGCACGACTTGTTGTATTAATTTCTGAAATGGGATAACCTTATGAATGATGCAGCCTCTCCAACAGCGCTAGAATTCGTCCGACTTTGGGTGTGGCATGCAGGCGGTAAATCTTCGAGCCCTTGTAATGTCCTATCATTTGTACAAGGGGAGGGCACTGATTCACCCCAGATGGATACCTCAGAGACAATTTTAATCGTGAACTGTGCCTTCAATTCGTAGAAAGGTAACAGCAACGTCAACGATACAAGTGTCGTTACCTGCGACTCTTTTTATCTTATTAGGTATTCGTGTATCCTAAGATTTCTGGGGATTATTTGTCGGATAAAATTTTTGCAACCGAAATTGAATGAAGAAAAAACGTGATCCTCAGCTAGGCCTCTAACATTCGGTCGCACAAGACCTGCAGGGAATGAGCCGAATTTCAATGTACCCATATAATATCTATCAATATTCATCAGTGTTGTTACCATGTTTTGCCACACACCATACAACCCACTGATGTTACAAGGCACCGCTAATAACACCAGGTGTACGACTGCTAGGGACTGACAGCTGTATTATTTTGAGATTCTTACCAGAGACTCTTACATTACTGTTGAGATCTCTTATTACTCTTTGTCAGCTGTTATTATTACCTGTCACCAACCCCTTACAGTCCCGTTCCTTTTCAATTGGAAAACATCTGAAAACATTAGAACATAACGGAATGTGTTCAGTGATCCGGCACCAATCTTAGTCATCTACGGTGAGATCACAACATCACCACTCACATAATGCATTAAAATAAGATGGCCCACCGTTGAGTGAAATAGCGTCACGCATTTCCTGATTTTTGCTTCTCCTTTAACCGTCTGTACCGTTCGTAATCATCTACGATCCCATCCTCCCCCTTACCTCCCCCGATCCCATCCTCCCCTTCAAAGTTTTGCTAGATCCGAGAAGGGTAACGAATCCAACGGTCACTGCCTGCTAAAACTCTTTGCATCCTTGACAATCACAATCGCTTTAAGTCATAAACGACCTTGTCACTCCCTACAATACCCACCAATCAATACCACTGTAAATATGAAAAGCGTAACGAATTTGCTGATTCCCTACTTCGTGAAGTCTTTTGTCAGTTGTACCAGTATTTGATTTCAAAATCTACGATTCCTATCACATTTCCTATCGCCTGCCGAAGTAGCCAGCGATCTAGTGGCTATTTCATACTAACTCGCAACATCACCCCTAATCACTCATTGTCAGTTTTTGCCACCAACCGTCTGCTACTCTCTCAGCTACCACATCGTACGCCAAAGTTTCACTGCCGACCTAAAGGGGGTGAAGGATTCTGTAACTTTTGTTCTATGCCCCTTTACAGCCTCTACCACCCAGCCACCACAACCATCCATGATCCGTGATCTATGATACTGTCACACCCCTCGTAAACTACTAAACAGTTAAGGGTTCATTGCTAAGGCGATGGATTAAACTATTCCACTCCCTTTTGCTTTCTTATGCTTTTCACTACAATCGCTCAAGAACTCGCCTATTTTGAACAAAGCTTTTTACTCAATTTCTCTTCATTGCAAAACTGAAGCTTGTCCTTTCTCAGATCAGTCGGTAGACCCAGTCCCCTTTTAGGCCGTCACAGTTGAACCAGAGCATGCCCAACTAAAAGTTATAACAGCGGATAGACCTGACAGATAACCTTAAAGCACTCGGCTGGGTCCGATGTGTCCTTCACATGACAGTGAATTTTTGGTATTGGAGTTGTGATGGGAAATTGGAAAAAAGGGTAAAGCGTATAATGGGCCTAATTAGGTAAAAGCAACAGGGTCCAAGTGATTTAATACCATCAGGAGAAACTTTACTTTTTGGGTGTATGTTTGTAGATGGTACTTTTTTCCTAGAATGTTATTTAAAGTAATGACCGAAACATAGATGGCTGAGGACACAAAGCGATAACAGCGATATGGAGCGATAAAGAACGTTTTAAGGAAGAATCGCTGTTTCGTCGCGTCTTTCGTAACTTTTTATATGACTGTTCCTAAAGTATAACTTCCGCGGTTCGAAAACTTGAGCTTCCCGTTCTTAATTCAATTGTGATAAGTCCTGTTATGCTCCTCTTTCACCCTCTTACTCTACCACTATCCACAAAGAAGAGTATGTAAGTCTAGTTAACTGTTTTAACTAGGAGTTGTCATCTTTTTGGAGATTTGCCGCGAAGGAATTCGATAGCTGCCTACCACGCCATTGCTAGTTCTGAAACATTCTACGGAATTTCCAACACCCTACGGCTGTTATTTGAGCATGCTAGTTTATTTTCACAGTTGGTTCGGTCGGCTAACGTCGGGATTCACTCCTTCCTTATGATAAAGGTGCATGGTCGGTGAAACCTCATTCTCTGGGATAAATACTTTTCGGGACACGAAACTGACAGAGGACTGGGAGTGCATAATAGTCCTGTCACCTACCAACAGTGTTTCTATCTTGCCTTTCGTATTCCTACCAAATTTTAGCGCTCTCGATCCAATTTGATTTTTTTGAGCAAGCCACGCCCCCTGTGGGCGGAGCCTAGTCGTGCCACCTATCGAACCATCTTGCCTCCTGTACTCCTACCAAATTTCAGCGCTCTAGGTCCAATTTGGCGTCCGAGCAAACCCCGCCCCTGTGGGTGGAGTATAGCCCTGCCACCTATCATCAGTGTTTCAATCTTGCTGCCTGTAGTCCCACTGAACGTGAACCGGAGCTCCCGCCCATTGTGCGCGGGGTCTGGTCCTGCCACCCACTATAAGTTTTCCCATCCTGTACGTCTATTAACTCGAACTCTCTAGGATTACGGAAACCGGAGTTATAAATTTCCGGTCACACACACACACAAACACATCGACAAACCAACAGACATACTGAGCGCGCTGTATATAGTAAGAATATAATGGGACCCTCCAAGGTTTCTATTTAAAACGAATTATTCAGTGTCCTAGTTTTTCGAACTAAACGCCTAATTTAAATGTGTAAAGATGTCTGGAGGATGAGACATGAGCCCAAACTCATTAAGGAAGCAATCTACTTCACCTAGCAGTTCCTAGATGGGCTGTGTAAATTCCGCGTAGTTAGAAGTGCTCTGTGTGTTAGGCGCTTTGTGTGTTAATTAGCAAGTGAACGATCCCACCTATAGAAAACTCGTAAGGTATAAGTGCACGAGTTAATAATAGAACAATACCGTGTTTTTCAAATAGTTGGAATTTTTGGAACTAGTTCCTTCCAATAAGTTCCTGTTCTCAAAGTGGCCCTTCATTCAGTTCATTATGGACCTCCTTTTCCTTCCAAATAGCTACCACAGTAGTACCGACCTTCCAAAATGATTCACACAACGTTGTGTCAATAAGTAAAGGTAAAAATAAGAAAGCCTACGCGCTTCACATAAACTTCAAGTCCATGCGACGACTGAATCATCTCTTGCATCTCGAATTTAGAAAAGACTTTCGAAAATATACGTTTGAATTGTAATATAATGTAAATATACTTTAAATGAGTGAAAGTGATTCGGGAGTGAAGCATTAACAAACACGCATGGTCCATGGTTGGAATCCCGTATCAGTACTCGCTCAGGCCGACCATGCTTTGCATTGGTTGGGGTGGGTTAGTTGGCACCAGACTGTGAGGATGAAAGCACTGACTTGTACGTCGGCTGGTCACCGCAGGTCATTGCATAGTACAGGCCACTAAGCATTTAAAATGCCGCTACGATTCTGGGTGGAAGTCGAGTGCGAGTTCATTCCGAAAACGGGACTGATAAACCCCAAAGTTTTATTGATTATGAGTATTATCCTTGGACTCTCTAAATATACCAAATACTCCGCTTAAAATCCTCCATCGTCTAACGGCAAACAAAAATTCGTGATATTCCACTCTCGNCTCTAAAATCATTGTTGTCTATTTACTTGAAAGATGACCTCTTTAGGTAGGCTTTCCAGAAATGGCAGCAGCTTCAGAAGCTCCGTGTCATCCTTCTCGTGAAACCAGCTTTCAATAGGAATTCCATTGTCAATTTGATAGGCGAACGATTGTGGTGCGTTGTCGATGATGACAGTTCGAGAGAGATCTCTTCCAAGAATTGAAAGGTCCTTGATGTAGTTACCATAGACACAAACACAGTGCTCTCGGAATAGTCGATGTCTTACCAATCGCTTTTGCGGATCAAGCAAGTTCTGTAAATTTTCGTTTCAATAAAGCATTTGCCACACATTACTACGTCGTATTAATGTGATAGATTTTTACCAATAATTTGTCGGCATAGATCCTTTTGCTTGCAGTAAAAAGGATGATTTCATAGTTGGCTGATAATCTCTCGAGAAAAGTGTGCAGATGTGGTCGTAACCGCACGTAGACCTAAGTACGATAGTAAGTTTTGGCAAGGATTAGAAACGGAAAGGAAAGCGACACCTCATAGGTATTGTTCTGAAAGTTAACAGGGAACACCATTGAAGCGTCAACAAGTGGACTGAGACTGCAGTGTACAAGAGTTTCATCCTGAAACAAAATACAGTATAAAACAGTAACATAAGGATAAGTAAATAGGACCTATACCAAATCTAAAACAAGTGTGAATTCGGGAGTGGATCGTGTTCGCAGAGGCAGTGCGGGACAACGAAACCTCATTTCATCAGTGAGAGGTGGCACATTGGCTAACATCAGCATCCTGAATGTGAACATATCGGTTAATTTTGAAATCGACCAATGTCGCTGAATAGGCATGTTCTAATTATTGTTAGATACATACTGCATACATGAGATAAAAAAAAAACTTGAAAACGAAGTTCATTAAATAGAATTCAGTGCTCTCAATGTATTAGGATCTTCTGAAAATTGAGCTCCACAGTTGCTAATAATGTAATTTACTACTCAGAAAGCACTATGGAATGAAATGGCGCCAAGTCTCGGTAAGCTCCTAGTTAAAGAAAGGTTCAGCCGAGCACGTGACCGATTCTCTAAAAAAGGAAAAAGCCCAGAAAAAAGCTTGTGGGTTCGTAACTACGGAACGCTTAGCCCTCGTAAGTTCTTAGTGGAAGAATGTTTCAGNCAGAAAAAAGTGTGTGGGTTCGTAACTACGGAACATAACCGTGACTACGACGATAAGAAGAACTCACGAGTCGTAGTCGATGGCGCATGGACCGCGATGCTCGCCGATCTGTGTCTCGTCCGCCGGCGGGTGTTCGTCGACCTGCCAGATGAGGTTGTCGGCTTCAGACGACGACAGCTTTCGCTTCATCGATAACAGGATCGCCGGGTGGTAGTGTAGGCAGCACGTCGATCCGTTCGTCTCCACTACGCTCGTCCTCCCGTCGATCAATAACTTCAGCTGTGACCGGTGTGTATTGGCGCGTTGCCCGCTCCGCCTTCACTCTGCGTGTCTCGCGCACTCTGACCATCTGCAGCGCACGTAGGCTCGGCTAGTTCCATGCCCGTGAACTTGGCGTGGGACTGGGAGAATGCCGAAAGGGCAACTTCGGTGGTGGTGATCGCCGAATGTTCGGTGAGGTGTGACTTTAGTGAAGGTGAGAAGCGAACTGTGGCAGTTGCGGTGCTTAACTCACTCTGGCAATGAGGGCGACTTTTCCTACGGGGGAGGCAATATTTGGAACCAAATTAACTTACTCCACTCAGTGTGAAGGGAGTAGATTTGGACCTAAATTGGCTCACCCTTCCTAGGGGTTATCGTGAGCTGACGGTAAATCCAACACTGAGATGGACTAAGCTCTTGCTCAGACTACTTGCGACCATCATCCGAACGTCTGGGTTCCCAGATAACTCGTCTTTAATGTAACTTCCCGTGGTTATCTACCTTGCAGGACCACCCGCGCTCCCGTGAAATGTACGAGACCATTCGAGCGTCGCATTCGCTTGAGCCCACAGAACCATCCCCCTACGGATTCGCATTCGAAAGAGCGTCCTTTCCTTCTATGTTGCCATTACGTATAGATCATCGAGATGCTGAATGTTGATTTTTGTCACTTCAAAGGTGGATAAATGGGCAGTGGTGAGGTAGCGGCAAGTGTCGCACATCACACCCGAGCGGACCGTGTTTATTTATTGGAAAGTTCCGCGGAAGGAATTATTCTCCCGCGCGCGCAAATTTGAATGCACCTTGGAGCGCTCTAACATTACAGTGGCTTTTCAAGTTGCTCGTTTCACTAATAGGCCAACACTTTCAGCTAAGTATTTCTCTTCTCAATACTAAAATAGAGCACTCAGTACGTCTCATTCTACTCCTATCGCACTTCTTTGGGAAAAGATCTGGGGTCATTGTTACTGCAAAATATTGTTGTTTCAATATGTGCGTCTGATTCCGTTTTCAACCTTAGTTTTTTATTCGCAATTTGCTCATTGATTATTCCACCTGACAGTTGGTTTATGGTCTTTTTCAATTCAGCAGATGGAGTGGAGTATTAGTACAATATTAATTTATTGAATTTAGTTCTGGTTGAGGAGGTAATACGATGGTGCGAACCAGGCGATCAGTTATACCATCACCAACTGTTGCGCCTTTGGCTAGGAAGGTATGCCCATAGTCGTTATTCAGCCTCTTGTCCGTACGATATGCTTCCGAACATCATTTTTGAGTTCTTTGGCAGCGTTGTTTATGTGTAGGGTTATTTTTGTGACATTGAATTGACCTTATATTATTCAAAGCCTTTTCAGACAAGACGTACCGCAGCTTCAACATCAGGAGCGAGTACTTCAGCAGCCTCATCGCCTGATCAAAAATTAGAGTGCTCCACAAGTTCTTTATCTAATCCGAGCACACCAGTCAATCGATGTAAGGCTCAAAAAAGTGGCAAAGCTTCAAAGGAAAATGGAAATGGTACCTCAAATTTTGTTTGAGACTGAGATTTTGCTTGTCCTCACTTTCCTTCAAGCTTCTTACAAGATTACATTTTGTAGAGAAAAAAGTAAAAGCTTTGTGCAGACGGGAAAAGGAGTTTGCTTGCATTTGTGATTGGATTGAAGAAGCCATGGTCTCTTCGCGTCCGCTCTCGGTTTATGTTAGCGGTTCACCCGGAACTGGTAACAATTTTTTGATCAATATTTTTTTCTTAGCCAAAGACATTAATTTTTTGATCTCTCTTTTATTTGCTTGATCTCGAATGAGGGCATACTGAAATGAGGCGTTTTCTGAGGGTACGGCTTACTTTATTCGATCGTTGTAGGAGACTTCCTCCTTCTTCCACCTATGTGAATGACACATGACGCTCTCATAGAGGCACTCAAACTCTAGATGGAGGTGGTCCACGTCGGGCCTCTTTCTTCAATCTGACGGGCTTTGTGGAGTTCCGAGATTTTAGACTTTATGGTAGACTACTAGACAGCCTTATTTGGTGAAAGGAACGTCTTGGTCGCCCAGACTTCAAGTGACTACTTCTATCGGATATCGAAGACCTTCCTCAAACAGGCGATTTGAGACATAACACCTTGCACCCTCGCGACATTTAAATGAGTCTTGTGACTGTGTGACCGTGCTGAAACCTTTTCGGAACCTTCATGGCTGTCCTTCATCAAGCATTTTACCAATCTTGTTAACAATAACTCGCAAAGAGTTAGCAAACTCGGGCAGCTGGCGGAATATGTGATCTGCGTAAAAGTGATTGCAACGATTATGATGGAATGCCCTCATATTTTGTAATTTAACCATGTCGATACCGATCCTTCAACGACAAGAAAGCGTGCTGGATGAAATGCAGAGTAAACGCTTGGTGCACCCATCTAGCGTTAAAAGGTGGTTAGGCAGGAAACATTACAGTGGAATTGCAGATGACCTTCATTGTCCTCCGAGAGTTAGTTTTGTAGTTGAAGCTCTGACATTTGTTGTAGGTACTCCTCCCAGCCTCAGCAGCTCTGGCCAGAACTGCTGCTTTTTTCTTTTCCAAAGCTCCTTTTATCGCTTCCCTACATAGCTTCGCAAGTTCGGACGTTAGTTGGGAATTGCCGACAGTTCGTGCAAGTTCACACTGGGATCTGTTCCGAAGTTCTCAGAGAAAGATGGTGTTACTGTCTTATGAGTTCTCTGCTTTTGAGCATTATAAAAATCGAAAATGCAGAAGATTATTTACGAAGTCCTATTTTTAAGCGTGCGAGATAAGCGTTCTAAATTGACAGCATTTTAGGGCTTCATTCAGAAATTTGATGTCTCGCTGTGCTTTGGAAATTAGATTTCTGCGTCGTAGCC